TTTTTGTGGCCCTCCTCTGGACCCGCTCCAACAGGTCCATGTCTTTCCTGTGCTGAGGGCTCCAGAGCTGGACGCAGCACTCCAGGTGGGGTCTCACCAGAGCAGAGCAGCGGGGCAGAATCACCTCCCTCGACCTGCTGGCCACGCTTGACTTGAAGCATGCAAGACAGTAGCTTTGATCACAAAATATCCTCTCTCTTCAACCCCGCTCTTACAGAGCACAGTAACCATTCTCTATACTTTCAAACACTGACTGCCCATCTAACTCAGTACCCACTCTGCAACTTTTGCCAATAGGAGCTTAGAGGATTGCTACTTGTTCAACTGGACAAGGTTTCCTTCAGGGAAGGGTATTGTCTAGGCACAGGCAGCATTTGACAAGAAGGGAACAGTGTTACTCTCAAAGCAGAGATGACAGAATACTTAAAACTGTCACTGCCATGCAAACTCTATTTGTTATACCCAATAGTTAGGATACTCACTGAAAAATGTGATTATCTGTTTTAGGGGCTGAAGGTTTCCAGGCTCTGAAGTCCAGTCAGAATGCTGCCTTAGGTAAGTTCAATGCAAAAAAGTTTACAGTACTCCTAACTCTCTCTTCCCTATTCAGATTAACATATTTTTGTACATATGCCTGTGAGAAGTAGGACTGCAGTTCTCTTAACCCCCCTGCCTGCGTTCAGGATGATGATGTTTGATTACACAGACAGTAAAAACTGCTATAACTAATGTTATTTGATAAACATTTTCTCTACACTGTCAATTAGATCTTAGTAGGAAATTTAATTTTTAACTGCCAACAACCAAACCAGAACACAGTAGGGTATTGGGAGACTAGTAACTGTTCTCCCTTACAAGGCCAGCATACTTCACATTGGCTCAAGGTAGGAGTAAAATCATTGAATAGAACCATAGAATCATTAAGGTTGGAAAAGACCTCTAAGATCATCGAGTCCAACCGTCAACCCAACACCACCATGCCCACTAAACCATCTCCCTAAGCGCCTCATCTACACGTCTTTTAAATACCTCCAGGGATGGTGACTCAACCACTTCCCTGGGCAGCCTGTTCCAATGTTTAACCACTCCTTCAGTGAAGAAATTTTTCCTCGTGTCCAAATGAAGTAACACAGGAGCAAGAAGATGGTTGTTCTTCCTCTACAAGCCTCAAAGTCTTCTACTAATACACTTGCCACACAGAGTTGAAAACAGAATGCTGGAAGTGGTTCACAGGTGGGAAAATGACAACAGCTCACCAGGTATCCCTGAGATCCACTGCACAACAGGGGTGGGCATGCGGTCAAGCTGCACTAGCAGCACCTACTGGCTTGTTTCTCTCCCTTGCAGAAGTCTGGTTACCCAGCAGCCACTTTGCAACACAACCATGCTGGAAATCAAGCAACAGAGCTGAGCCCACTATCTGCACTATGAATTGTTCAACAGCCACAGGTTGACAGGAGGGCTGGTACAGTTTTCCCAGCTGGATCTCCCTCTATCTCCTATTGCAATCTTGAGGCTATGAAGGAAACAGTATTTATATGCTCTCAGATAATTTCTCCTGGAAGACTGGAGTCTGCAAAAAAACCCCAACACTTCACATTCAATCTGTGTATCATATTGTTTTCAGTATAGTGTATGTATCCTCGGAAAGTCTTAATGCATGACTGCTGAGAGAACACATGCAAACTCATTTGTTAATACACTGACATAGTAACTGGAACAAAAAAGCATCCTGCCCTTCCCTTACAATGACACATTTTTTCCAACATTTATTATAGGGCTGGCAGATAATCATATACACATCTAAGCTCCAGGTGAGAAGGGTGTTATTTGTAGTTTTCCTCCTTAGGGTGTGCATCTGTACAGGATAGCCCATGATTCAGCATAAAGGTTCTGCAAAATTAGTCTGTGTAAATCTGTAGCCAGCAAGCAGTTTTGACAGTTACTACCTCAAAGCACAAGTCAAAGTAATGAGACAGCAAACCAGAGAAAGGAATCTTCTTGTTTTGCTTAAAAATGCTTTTATTCAAAAAAAGAAGTAGGGTTAATGAAACCTCTGTTTCAGTAAGGAAACACTAAATTCACATTTTACATACGAAAATATTACAAAATAACCATCCAGTGACTATTACAGCGTTTTTTCCATGGTTGGGACTCGGGCCATTTTCACTCATTTTCATCCACCATCCACAGCAATCAAAAAATCAATTTTTTTGGTAATCCTGAAAAGTGTAAATCACATTGTTACCAAAGTAAAGGGGTCCAGCCCCCTCCTCAAGGCTTTAGTATTTGTTTGATACTGTTCTTGAGATACATCTACTCTGAGATGCTTAATGCTGTTTGCTGCAGCGGCAGTACATGACTTTTTCCAATTAATCTATGAAAGAGTGCCAGAATCAAAGCTCACTTGAATCAGTACGTGTATTCCAAATGAGTCGCAAATTCTGTACTTCAGTGTTAATTGCATTTGGGATACATGTGAGTATTTCTCTTTGTCGGTATAAAAAGCTAGCCAGTTAATTCTACTTTTAAACCTAAGAAAGGCAAGCTATTCTAAGGCTTAACCTTGCCCCACCACACATACGCTCTTAATGATTTTTCTTAAGTGCTGTCACTACCCAGCAATAAGCTGTCTGCAGCAAGTAACAGCCCTTTTACCCTCTGCCTCATTCTTCAACCATGTCTTTCTTTAGTATCAGCTGTAGAGATGACGAGAGCAGCAGTACTTTTCTGATTCTGTTCCAGTTCTTGTCCTCTCATTTCTTCATATGCTACTTATTTATAAGGTAGGTAGAATAAACCATAGCTACCTTCTGGGATGGATATGAAGCTTACTATGAAAGGATCGAACTGTTTTTGCCTGCCCTATAGGCAGAGGTCTCCTCTAAAATACACTGACATTGAATCACACCCATGAACTTTAAACGAATGACCAAACAATACAAATTCTTAACCTTAGATATGAATAGAATGGTATTTTTTTTCCAAACCAATGTAGAATAGTTCTGAAATTAGACAGATTCCTTATACTGCATTAACTCAGGAAAGTTTAGTGCTGTATCTTTTATACTCTCTGTTTTGCGAACCTATGGCTCCGTAGAAATGCAGATTAATAGGACTAGAAATTGGTGTCCTGGGGAAGGACTGCTGCTTTTGAGTAAGTGTTTGCCAGAGTGGAGAAGATGCACAATGATGTCATCGTAGCATCAGTGTCTCCACATACCTCACCGATCAAAAATAAGTGGTAGCAATAGCTAGAAATGATGCATGCTTAATACTTTTCACAGGCAGTCATCCATCTAGTGATAGTCTTCCCCTGACAATAAAGAGGCTGTTTTTTGAGAAGTACAGCTGCTGCACATTTAAGTTTGGTGAACACGCCTCACAGGCTACAGGGTTTTGTTCTTGTGGAAAAGCAGCACTTACGGGGATGGCATAAATTCTTTCTCCTGGCAGCCAGCCCCTGGTGCCAACATTTTATAAGATGGTACCCATCAGTAATCACCCAGTCCATTCTACTAAGTTCCAGAGGGCTACCTCAACAGGGCTAAGGAAAAGAGAATGTATTGCGCAGGATTCAAGCACAGGCCAGCCTAAGAATTTCAGGGGATGCAACTTATTTTTCTTTGAAATTACTTTTACACATTTCCATCCTCAATAGCAATAAAAATATGCTGTGCTTCAGATTTTATTTAAACAAAGACTGTAGGATTGTTCTTCCAAACCAATATTCAGATTTTTAACTTTAGATGATAATGCCACGTAAGGAAGTCAAATGAAATCCAGGGTAGCAGGTTTGCTAGCTCTAACATTGGCTCTCTCCTTTAATGTTTGTTGGCACTAGAGGATCTACCTTTGAGACCCTCTGGTTCTGTCAGCCCAGCTAAGGCAGTAACAGAACATAGCGGAAAATCCACATCAGAAAATCCATTACGTTTCCATTTCCACTTAGTGGAAATGATAGTGCTTTTTATACCGATACTCAAATGTCTCAAAAAGTAATGCTGACTTTCTAAATGCCTTAGTTATAGTCAATCTCAAAACTCCTGGCATTTAACACAAAAGTATGACTTCCTCTTGGTGAAGATGAGACTTTCGGAAAGACGTTAAACCAATTAGTGTTCTAGCTTCATACAGTTCTGGAAACTCTGCTCATTGTCAAATGCAAGACTTCAAATGGTTAAGTCACAGAACTCAAAGAAGCATTTCTTCCTCTTTCCTGTCCTTTAGTTAACAGGCATATTTTAGGGCAGGTACTCCAAAACACTAATCACAGACCCTCACGTGGTCCTTGCAAAAGGAGCTAAAAAGCTTAAATTGATTACCTAAGCTATGGTAATTTGACAAGTTCCCACCTGTCAGTTGACCCACAGTACTGGGGTCAGCAAAGAGCATGCAAATAGTCAACTGATTAAATTTTTCTTTGAGATTAGAATCTTAAGCTAGTGAACTAATGCATTTTACTTTTAATTTGACACAGACTAAGAAACAAGAAGTCAAAGTGCCTAAAAAGTAAGTTAAACTCTAATAATGTAGCTGTGTCTCTGAATTCAAGAGGAAATGCACTTTCATGGAAGCATCTCCATTCCAAAAAGATATCACTCTTGTATCAAAACAGTCTCATACTGGCAGTAACAAAAAGCTGATGCTAACCTGACAGCTGCTATCTAGCATATTCCAGCTGTTAAGACCACCAACCCCAAGTTTAAGGACTAGTATTTGCCTCTCTGCTAGAAAGTCTGAGTAATTTAGTGTCAGATACAGGTCGTGAGTCCTCAGAGCTTTTCTTGCCATGAAGATATGAAGTACATGCTACTGTTTGGGGAAGACTGGAGGCTCCATATAGAAGATGATGTCAGGGAATAGGCTTGCCTTTTAAAAGGGTCACAGAAATGTGCTTAATGTTCCTTACCCAGAGCGGTCTTAACTGTTAACTTGTTTAGTCTAAGACAGAGAGAGCAGAAATCTCTCTTCTGAACCCGATTTACATTCTCCAGTCTGTAATTTGAAAGAATAACATGCTATGTTTCTCTCTCTCTCACCCCCCCCTTTTTTGTTTTAAGTGATGTAAAGTTAAGTTATTTCCACCTCAGTAAGATGTCTCAGAGGAAAAAAAAAAAAAAGGGCATCATAATAGCCTATAATTTACTGGGTAGTACCACACTCCATTACAGAAATTAATGGAATTAGATATTTCTTCTAACAAATAGATTCCTAAGCACCATAAAAGAGCTTTTTTTGTACCAATTGTTAGAACACAGAACTAAGTCATTCTCACCCTAAAGCATTTATCCTAAAACATACATCATTAAAGGGCTTCAGCTGGTGCTAGTGCCCAGGGATGTAGTCCATTCAGAGAGTTTTTGTTCTGAAACACTGGAAGTATCACGTTCTCTCTGAGCATGTAGCTCCTATATTAAAACAGGTGAAACATTAAGAGGTTACCTTGATCTATTCCTTCTGTTCTTTTCCTTTTTAAATTTAAAAGTGCATTTTGTTGCTCCTTTACAGCTTCTGCAGGACAGTTGGGTCTTGGCAGCTGATTTCCTGGAGTAGGTCCTGGTCGGTTACTGAAATACTTCTGTTTCAATGCCTTAATGATAATGGAAGAAAAATAGCCAAGTAATTAGTATAAAGTGTCAGAACACCATCTATAAAGAGGTTATAATGAAATAAAGCACTTGCAATTGGGACTTGAAAACTACTTGGACACTTTTATACTAGAAGGTGGCCTTGGGGCAAATGAAGATTTTGTGTTCTCAGTGACTACCCACAGCACTTTGATTTGTAAGCCAAGAGATAAACTGTTATTTTTAACTAGTGCTCAGACATCCTAACAGAACTCTAGACTACATTGCAGGAGGTCTTGTACAAACAGCAAGTTTCTAGCTCTGAAGAGCTTACATTCTGAATAGACAGATAAGACAAGGATAAAGAAGAAAGTAGGAATAAAGAAAGATTAAAAGAATGTAAATGAAGTCTTGATCAGATCCAGGACCCGGATACCAGCTGTTTTGCTAGCTTTTAAGATAGGTCTTTCCCCAAAATTTCTTTAACTGTGCTGTTTATACACTGTAAACTGTGAGAAAAATGTAGTTTGAATTAGAGCAAAAGACAAACACAAGTGAGCAGGGTTAATTTCATGTAGTGGAATTACATACGGTATTTTAAATTTTAGGAATTCCACAGCTTCCATAAACTGCGGTTAAGGAAAAGAGGTTAAGCTGCCTCTTAGGTAATCATTACTCTTGCTAATGTCAGTTACATGGTATTCAATGCCAGCTATAAATCAAGCCAATACAGTAAGCGCAAGTTGTTTTCTGCCTTAAACTGTGGCATTGTCAATAAAAATGCTAGACTAGAAAAATCGTATATATTCAAGTCACCATCCTACAATACAACCTGTAAAATGACTTCATACATTCGAACTAGTACAGAGGTGTCCCAAGCAGAGCAGAACTAATTATTTGGAAACTTATATTGAAAGTTCTTAAAGATGGTGACCAAAAAAACCTGAATGTACTCTGAAAAAGTCTTCTAGTAAAAAGATACATAACACATGCACTAATCCCCTGGATTGGGATCTGCCTTGTCTAACAAGCAATGAGGGAGTCCTGGCCTTAAGGGGACAGCTCTGTTTCTTGCATGCTTCCCTAACAGTGTAAGGTGACAGAAACACAGTTTTGAAACTGCCATCTGCTGTATCTTCCTTATAGCAGCAATCAATATTCTGAACTAGAACATTCTGCCAGATTTTCATTCAAAGTCTTTCATTTCTCCCCATCAAGGAGTAGTGAAATTGAGATCAGTTTCACCCAAGTATAATGGAAAAAGATATTTAGATCAGAATGCTGGTTTAAATCACCACAGAATTTCATATTAAAAAAGAATCAAAAAGGTTTAAATGAAATTGAAGAAGAGACTGCATGAAGTAAGGAAACCTTTCAAACCCAGGGAATAAGATATGCTATGTTAAAAATTAAGTTTTGAGCTTTTGGTGACTGAATTTTGAATGTCAAATATAATGACTGTCTGAAGGCCATGACTCATACACCTTTTAGTTGTCTACCTTTGCTCTACATTGGTAATGGAGAGGATCAGTCAGCATTATTCATGCCTTTCAGAGTTCTCTCTATAAAATACTGGAAATATGTTTCTAGTATTTCATGGACAGAGCTATATGACATTTCATTTCAAACCCGGCTTACTGGCTTCGAAGCACATTTATCCGATATTAACAGTAGTTTAATGAACATTAGGACATAATGCAAGTGTACTGTACCTGAGTAGCCGTAACCCTAGTGCAAGGATTAAATGTGAATAAGCCTTGCAGAAGATTGAGCAAATCATCACCAGCTGCACTGAAGATATGTTGGAGTGGCATTCCAGGGAAAGACTTAAATGTGACATAATCTGGAAGACTCGTCATCCCCTACAAAGACCAAAAATGGAATGTATATTTTTCAAGTTAGAAAGAGTTCAGCTTTTCACAGAAAGGGAACTTCATATGGTTGTCTTTCAGCAGAAGCAAATTATCTTTCAAAACACCTTGCTAATACTTTGTCACTGAAATAAAATCAATGTAGGAATAGCAGGACATAAAGACTACTTTTTTTTTTTTTTTAAATAACTGTTACTGTTGTTTCAAACTTTCTCTTTCCAAGTGATCTGTCCTTTTCTTGCTTTAGTGCTGACCAGTCCAAAAGAAAAAGCTACTAACAAAGAAAACAAGTATGAAAGAACTTTACAGTGGGTGCAGACAAATGAAGTAAAACTTTTTTCTTTTGCAGACTGACATGGTGGAAGAGACAAGATTCACAAAAGAGCCAGTCTGCATTTTCTCCAAGTTAATAATATACTGTCCTCCTCCTCAAAGTTAGCTGATCACCATGAGCATTTTGAGCTACTTTTGAAATGCACAACTGAAACTTTTTATCTGGGGAGTCGGGGGAGGGAAGGAAGATAAGCCAAGCAGTTAAACAACAGGTGAATTACATACCTTTTTCTCCTGTACGTATGAAATCAATCCCTTTGTATTGAAATTCTATCATAAAAATGATCTTGTAACAGACAATTATCCAAACATAGTATTTTAATAGTGTTTTAAATATTTTAAACCTCTAGGCATCACACTTCAGTAAGTTTACCCAAGCAAAATAAAATATTAATACTGAAGTGAAAAATGTGCTCAATCAGTTATATTTTTGACAGTAAAGGTTTCAATTCTTGAAATGCATGGGTTTGCAAATCAATTTGGGAATGCATCATCTCTGTTGTGCTAGCAAATCTCCTATTCTCTCCTTTCCCCACCTATATCTTAACTCTTCCTCTCCAAAGAAAGCAGAAATGTCATTGCAAAAATCTCCATGCATTTCATTTAGAATCCCGGAGCAACAACAGAACTGTATGGGGCTAGTAGTGCCTTATACGATATTTCTCCATATGGCTATAGCTCTATTTGGTGATCACGTACCATAGCATTCGAGCACCATTCACACAAAGGAAAAGCAGCACGGGGAGGGAGCAGAGGCAGGATGTGATGACTGGTTAACAAGTCCAGAGAGCGCTTCCACAACTCAACTACAAAAGAGGACGGTCTGATCAGGGAATTCTGGCCCCCCCGTGCCCATCGGCTGGTCCAAGTTGCCCATCCAAAGAAGCCATGCCCTGCTTCCTGTCAGCCTGCCTGATAACCATGGTTATGTAGGTCATTGTGTGCCCTGACATGAAGTTTAGCGCAGTAGTAGTGAGGTACTGGATTTACTGTCATCTTGACCTGGATAATGATACTACTGATTTGTATTTGTTACTGCACCATTATTCTCAGATAAACTGTCTACCCCTAAAGCTGTTGGTCTGGTGTCTCTTACCATATCCTGAACCTGTAACTTGGCTGGGCCACCTCCGGTGTCAGAAGTGAGATATGGTACACAGCATCGTTACCTGCCCCAACCTTGTAGTGGGTGCCCCGCCCAGACACCAGACTCTGATGGAGGGAAGTACCTGTTTCCTTTTCCCTAGCTACTTTAATCAGAGAAATTCAGAAAGACAACACATGAAGGGGAAGGTACTCTGCCTATTCCTCTTTGCTCACTGTCTCAGAAATACTGAGCACCATTTGACTGCAGCCAAAGCCTGAGCTGTCTCCCTACAAAAAGAACTAGCTCAAGCCCAGCAGGATACTCAGCCTGCGTTTGAAGACAAGGCTCTCGCCACTGCCTGTGTTAAAAACGTGTAGGCTTGCGTGGAAAAGTTAGAGCACCTCGTGGTCCCCCTGGTGGCAGCACATGCCTGAGAGAAACTTGACCGGCAGCTGGAAGCTACATAAAAGGGACTTTCTGCAACAAAAATACATAAAGCTTTATGTATTGACCAAGAAGAGTGGGAAGGAAATACGTGGTTCGATTTGGATTCAAATGATGATACATCAAATTCTTGAAGCCCAACCAGGCTTACAAATCCCATCAATTATTGAAACTGAGTATGATGCTAATGGAGGCACTGCAAGTACCTCTACATGCTCTTTCACAAACATACACCTAGCCAAATTAAGCAAGTACTATCGCAGATCTGTTACTGTGGATTACTTAGCCTGGCTTGCAAATATGAGGGGGGGATACCATCCAAATTTCAGAATCAGAAGCCCAGACCCTCACATCTGACTACAAATTCCACCATAAAATGCAGACTCTGTCTTTTGGGCATCAACAGCTTATGTTCAAAGAGAAGTGCCCTGAGATGACTGAGGACCCTGGCTATTCCCTGGCCAATCCCACAGATTTAGAATTGAGCATAGCTAGGCTGGTTATCAATCATACTTTAGATGCAGGCCCTGTGGCAGGTGAAGACCTATCATCATCCCACTGAGATGCAGTGGAGCCTACTAGTCAAGAAGGGTCCACTCGTAGGACATTTAATGTCAATAGGCGCTGGCCTTACAGGTGCAGCACCCAGCCCCATACAGTCCCTGCTATTACAAAAGGTAGTTTCTGCTGTGCCCATTCTGTTATCTTCCCGTGTCCCTAAAGATGCAGCTATAGTTACCACCAAACCCTACTGTGCCCCCCTAAGTTAAAAAACCCCCTACACCTCTGTGAAAGGGCCCTGACCCAAAGCATCCTGAAATATGGAAAGCCTGTTTGGCCCTGGGCATTCCTGAATAGGCAATACACACAGTCCCAGCATCAGTGTTACTGGCTCTTGTAATCATCTTGCAACACCCCGCACTGTGCCACACATTCTCCCATTGGAGGTAAAGGCCCAAGTGCCCCGCCTGCCATTCCATCAGCTGGAGCCTGGAAACCCCAGTCTTGTATTACCCAAACTTATTAGGGGTCCAATTAGCACCACAGGGGGCTGATCAGAAGCCACAAGTCCCTCTGAGGTGCTATGGAGGGTGTCGCTTATACGGACTTTCAATCTAGTGCTAGATGTCACCATCAACAATAAATGTTGTTTGTGTTGCCTCATTGATACAGGTGCTCAAATTTCTGTCAATAGATCACACACTGGAGGGGACCACTTCCCTCATACTGCAGTAGTCTGCGGGTTCACAGGACCACTCATAGCTCTTCCTGTAGTCACAGTCAAGTATGACTTCCCTAATAGGTATATGGCCCAAGGTTCTGCAGTTCTGGGAGATTGTAATGTCTTAGATATGAACCTACTCAGAAGCCAAACCTTCCATGATGCTCAAGGCAAGGTACAGTATCTTGGTACTTCTGAACCAAACCACCTGCTAGTTCCAGTAAGTACCTTCCCTACCTCCAATGACCCATGTTGTTAATTTACAGCAGCACCCTGTAAAACCACGAGCCCAAAACCCCATCACCCACCTCCCTTTCTACAGGACTGGAAGAACAGGAAGTAGGCATTCACACCCATACCCTGTTTAGCAGCCCCATCTGGCCAGTGGACAAACCCAACAAATGGGTCTTGGCATCTGACTGTTAGACTACCATAGCATACATTTTGCCTCCTCTCTGCTTCACACAACAGTCCTAATAGCTGCTGAAGTACTCAATGCCATTTGCCTTGCTTCTTACCTATGTATGGCAGTTTTGGATGTTAAAGGTATGTTCTTCCAGTGCCCCATCTACTCAAATGACAAAGGTCACTTCACTTTTACATGGAATAGCATCCAGTACACCTTCATTCATTTACCTCAAGATTATCACCATAGTCATACCCTTACTCATGGTCTCTTAGCCTTAGTTGAAATTTCTTCCACTCCTGATCTCTCTTGCCACCAGTATACCAATGACATTCTCCTGGGCAGACCTACTACACATGAACCTGTTGCACCAGACATGACCCTCTTAGTTTCAGCCCTGAAAGAACACTGGAATCTTTCTATTCCTCCCTGTAAATGCCAGGGTCCTGCCCAGAATGTGTGAGTCTCCTTGTGCGCTGGTACCAAAAGTACTCCTGAAATCATCTTGCAATCTATTTTATCTTTACTTACTCCCTCCTCCAAACAAAACCTCCAGAGATTTTAGGCACTTTATAAATTATGGCATGCCCACATCCCTGATTTTAGTCAGCTAGTCTATTCTCTGTATTCCTTGCTGCAAAAACATTTCACCTGGGACTGGAACACAAGTCATCAACAGGCCCTAACACTTCTCCTAAAAAGTATTCAATAGTATCAGTATTTAGGATCCCTCACCCCTACTGGCAGATTTGAACTCAGGGTCCAGTAGAGTGGAAATGGTGCCTGGTGAGGACTGTTCCAGGAAAGAAGTTCCGAAGACCCTACCCCTAAACCAATCCATTTTGGTAGCAAGGAGTGGCAAGATGCACAAGCCTCATATTGTGAACGGGAGCGTGCTTTACTTGCTACTTTTTCTGACATTGACAAACTCCTTGGGGATCGTCCCCTTACACTTAGGATTTTACATCCTATTCCTCATGACATCCTTCACAACATTCCTTTCCCTGAAGGATGAACTCAATCCATTGCCACTCAATAGTGAGTTCTTGGTACCCCTGTCATCACTGATGGAGCCCAACCTTCAGGCCCCAACCATTGTACTCTCACCCACCTTGCCTCTCCCATTCCTGTAGCTACCAGCAATCACTCAGATTTGCCTATTGCCTACGTCCCTCCTTTCACCACCCCGCAGGAGGGTACCTGGTTTACTGATGGCTTAGCAATCCTTTGCAGTAATGCCTGGTTTGGGTGTGGCACCACTGTCTATATCATTGATGGCCAAATCGTCATGGCCAATTGCCATGGTACTGCCCAGACGGCTAAAACTCCTGGCCCTTTGCTTAGCCATTTGCTCCTCTGTCCATACTGTCTGACCCTTGGGCTGTTCTTCTAGGTGCACCTGGTGGGTTTCCCCCTGGAAAGCGTGCTCCTTCTGCACTCTTACCATAGAAATTAGGGGCTACCTTCTTTAGGAAGATATTTGCTCACTTTGGCTGTGG